TTCCTTTTTCCCCCCTAGCATTTCTGAATAATCAGCAGTGGAAAATTAATAGTTCTAGTACCTTATGTTTAGATTTCAGACACTATGGATTTGATTTACTAAAGGCAAATAGACTGTTTACTTCACAAGGGAAGTTGCACTTTGCAAGAGAATCCTCCCTAGGCTTACTGAGTGTGAACATCCTCTACTCCTTTAGTAAAACATTGTCTATAGGGGGAATTTAAATTGTTCTGTGCCTGAATGCAACAAATGGCAAACTTTGTTAATATTTAGAATAAAAATTCAGACCCTGAAAGACGTAGCAGAAACTTTATTTAATGAATGGAGAGCTGCATCAGGAGTGGAAAAAGAATAGTTCTAGTACCTTATGTTTAGATTTCAGATGCTTTGGGCATGATTTACTAAAGGCAAATAGACTGTTTACTTCACAAGGGAATCTTCCCCAAAGCTTACTGAGTATGGTGAAACTTCATTTTAAACGAATACCGAATCACGTGCAAAGAAAATAAAATTTAAAAAAAAAAAATTTGCTTGCACATGGTTTGATGAAGGAAGTCAGCAGAGGTTCACCCCATTCACAAATCTTTGTGGAGAATTCTCTTACAAAGTGCAACTTCCCTTGCAAAGTGAACAATTTATGTTGTCTTCAGATCAACCCATTTGACTCGTATTTTCTAAACTAGTAGAAAATATTCACCTTCAAAGTGAATTTTTTTCCCTTTTCAAAAGCTTAAATTCACTTGCAAAGTTTTTTTGTTTTGTTTTTTTTACTTTTTTTCACTTCATTGACTAAGATAAGTAAATATTCCCCTTTGCAAAGTGAAAATTTACTTTGAAAGTGAACATGCTCTACTCGTTTAGTAAAACATTGTCCATAGGGGGAAGTTGCTCTGTGTCTGTACACAACAAATGGAAAACTTTGTTTATATTTCTATTAAAAATGCAGATCCTGAAACATGTAGCAGAAACTTTATTTAATGAATGGATAGCTGCATGTCCAAGTGATCTCTTCTTGGAGAAAGGTTTTCTTCACATTTTTTTTCCCCTGGAAATGTTTACTCTATACAAGTAGATAAATCCAGATATCATTCATTTTCACCTGGACCTGCATTTTTCTTAGGATTAGAATTTTTGTATTTATTTATTTTATGTTTCTTGTAAATATAAGCTATAAAGCTTAATTTAATCAGAGTGTTGTAAACATAAAAGGCTCCTTTCTATGCAGTTTGTAATTGTCATTGCCTATGGAGGCAGCCTTTTTTTTGAACCTCTTATCTCACTGCAGACTGAAAACAATGGAATAGGCAGCCTAGGCTAGGAGCTGGGAAACAACAGTGTCTTCCTCTTTGTGGCAAGAACGTTTCTTTTTTTTTTTCTTTAAAACAAAAAATAAAAATGAGTTTTGGTAAAGTTTACATGTGCCTTATTGGTCCATGTGAAGTGTGAATTTTAATGATAGATCCACTTTAATTTCTTTAAGCCTGTTTTAGTATTTCTTGTGAACACAGGCTACAGTAAAAAATACTCTCTTGCAAAAAAAAAACACATAAAAAAAAAATCACTTTCTTCTAATAGTTATGTGATTTAAATTACCATGATTTTGCTGATGTGTAGAAAAAAAAGTAGATCAAAGTCAGTATGTATTTTGTACCATTAAAATTGTAACTGAAAGTGTTGGTAAATGTTACAATACATCATGAATCTTCTAAAAATGTAATTAGTAACAATTACAGATTACTATGAAAACATTTTAAAATTTATCATGTAAAACTGTTCATTTGTTACAGATTCATTCCATTAATTTTAGTAAAATTGGTGCACCGAGAATCTGGTGCGGCTGTGGTAGCCAATCAGCTTTTACCTTCAGCTTGTTCAATTAAGCTTTAGAAATAAAACCTGGGAGCTGATTGGATTCTTTGCAGAGCTGCACCAGATTTTCCAGTTTTAGTAAACTGGAGAGTGCAAATGTTTTAGGACTATGTTGACCATCTTTGAAAAGCCTCTTAGACCTTAACATGGAAAATAATGTCGACCAATAGACTGCACTTCTAATTCATCAAATGTAAATAAAATATCAAGGATCTCAAATGTTTTACCAATATGGAGACTTTGACACAATTTTTGCTGGTAGTAGTAGTTTAAAAAAAATAAAAATAAAACGAATTTAGTAAATTCCCTTTTTAATTTTGCCTGTACTGTGTAATTTAAGTTATTTAATTACATTTTAACAGTTAGATATATAAATAGGTAATGCAGGGGATGATGCTGACAGCTAGCAAGTAAACATTTTATGAAGTGAAAAAAAAACTCATGCCTGTTCCTATTTGTAAGCTTTTTTTTTTGCAGTTTTATAATTTGTGACTGAAACCAAATTAATGTATTTCATATAAACATGTGACAATAAAATAAATACTGTATGTGTTTGCCCACTGTGTTTGCAGTAGCAGCTATGTTACATTATTGCTGTGTTTTCTGTTTAGAGGTGCAGTACAGTGCTTTTTGTCCTTTTACATTTCAATTCTCAAGCAGATCTCCATCCACATATTCTCTTAGATTGTAAGCTCCAAGGAGCAGGGTCCATCCTAACCCTCTTGTATTGAACTGTATTTTTGCTGTATTGTCTCCTGTTAAATTGTAAAGCGCTGAGCAAACTGTTGGCGCTATATAAATCCTGTATAGTAATAATAATAATATTGATATTTATTTTTAAAAATATTTATTAGAGGTATTTATATAGTGCCTACAGTTTATTAAACATGTTACATATTCACATCTTTTCCATCACACACATACTACATATACAGAAGCCCATACCCACATTTGATCCAGAGGAGAACATTAAACCCTATAAAGCATGTCTTTAGAATGTGATAAGAAAGTGGAGTACTCAGGGGAAACCCTTACAACATGCAATCTCCATGCAGGAAGTGTCCCGGTTGGGATTTAAACCAAGGTTAACAGGGTTTCAAGGCAGATGAGATCAGTATGATCTCTGGGTGGACTATCCTGTAAAGGATCTATTGCAGCAGTTGTTAAGGAAAGACAGACAAGAATCAGCCATTCTGAGGGCTTGTTCACACCATTGAAATAATTGTTTTCTATGTGCCCTGTTCACACCATAAATGTGCGGCGGTGTGCAGAAAAATGCAGCTCAATAGACATTTGAACAAGCCTTCAGTATGTGAAATAATAAACATCTGTCTCATACCAAAGAATAAAAAAAAAACTAAAATCCCTGTATATTTTTTAGGTAAACTTTCCAATGCAATTAACTTAGGTTAGTGAATACGGTGAAGCTCTGTTGACTTTTACAATTTATGTGCAAGCAAAAAATCGGGTTTTTTTTCTCCCATTGTCTCCGGCAATGGGTTGGGTTCTTTCCTCCTTTATTAAATCAGCCCCAATAAACTTACAGTGAGTAACCGTTAACAACACACTACATGGCATGCAGTAGTAAAACAGGAAAAAAAGTAGTCATCAATATACCCTGTACTCTATCCATTTTTCTTCAGATGGGCATTGTGGAGACTTGCTGAAATTCATAATAACAGTTAATAGTTTAGTTTAACAGTTAATAATAGTTTGAACTTATTTATTTAAAAAGGTAGATCAATTATTTTGCAGGGCAGTTCCTTACAGTACTTTCCACCAAACTAACTTTTACAGTCTAGTAGTGAACACTTCTTCAGCATCGTGGCTGCTTTATCCTGCCCAACTGTAAGATGCTAAGAATGGGGTACACACTCAGGGATAAAAATCAAAGCCTCTTATTTCTTACATAGACCTCAGTAGCTCTCTGCTGTGAACATACTAGCGGCCAGTGCTTGCATCTCCTTTATTTATTATTTATTTCAGGTACTTATATAGCGCCATCAATTTACGCAGCACTTTACATATATATTGTACATTCACATCAGTCCCTAACCCTCAAGGGGTGTACAATCTAAGGTTTCCATTTCCCCAAACCCAGACCAGCTCTATGTAATGAAGCTGCATACCGCTAATTTTGAAAAGAAACAATTTTTTTGTTCCAGCACAATAGAGAACACTCCAACCAGCACCTCTACTGACGCATTTCGCCCCTTACTGGGACATTACTATAGAGCAATAGGGTGTGGGGGAATAGTAGTACATATACACACATTGTTAAACTACCATTGGACTTGGACTTTAACAATATGTATATAAGTGATGTTGCAGTGTGCGGCTTTATTATATTGTGCTCTTCCCTTCGTTTCTTGTGGTTCAATGCATAAGGACACCGTAAAAAGTAATTTTCTTTCCTAGAAATGGTTGTGGTGTTTCTAAAATTATAGTGTGGTTATGTTATGTGGCCATGTTAAAGTACACATAGTGCTCAGTGGAGTCTTTGTTTACAAGGAATCTGCAACTTATGAAGGAAGATCACAAGAGAAGTTTATCAATCTTGCCACACGCAGAGAGGAACAGCAGCAGTGAATCATTTCTATACCACTTGATTCTTAAACTTCCCCTCCTCCTCTCTGCAGGCTTACAAGTAGTCTTGCTCAAGTATACATCATGCCCCTGACCCCTTCTTTAACCACTTGCCCTTCAGGGGATTTATGCCCCTGCCTGACCAGGCCTTTTTTTTTTTGATAAGGCGTTGCATTACCTTAATTGACAATTGCGCAGTCATGCAACGCTGCACCCAAATTAAATTTATGTCTTTTTTTTCCCACAAATGGAGCTTTCTTTCAGTGGTAATTGATCACCTCTGCATTTTTTTTGTGCTATAAACAATAAAAGACCGCCAATTTTGAGAAAAAAATTTTTTACTTTTTGCTATTAAACATGTCCTGTAAAAAAATTTTTAAAAGCAAATTTCTTTAAAAATGTAGGCCAAAATGTATTCTACTACATGTCTTTGCTAAAAAAAATCCCAATACATGTAAATTAATTGGTTTACGTGAAAGTTATAGCGTCTACAAATGGCGGTATATATACTGGAATTTTTTTTTTTATACTAGTAATCGCAGCAATCAGTGACTTATAGAGGGACTGCAGGACTGCGGTGGGCATTCTGACACTGGGGGGGAACTGACTAACTGTCACTGACATCCCCAGTGACACTAATACAGTGATTAGTGCTAATAAAAAGTACTGACACTGTACTAATGACACTGGGCAGGAAGGGGTTAACATCTGGGGCGATCAAAGGGTTAACTGTGTGCTGCATGCTGTTTTACTGTCTGCTGTGTGTGTGTTTTAGCCTGGGTTCACACTGGTGCGGAATTCGCAGTGTTTTCTGTGTGAATTCAGCACCGCATCAGAATCGCACCCCGTTCATGCGAACCACTGCGGGTGTGTATATTAAGTTAACAACACCCCAAAATCAATCCACAAAACGCGGTATGATGTGCAGAATTAGATCACATAGGTGTGAACACCCATGTGCTCTGATTCTAGTGCGGACCCAAAAAAGGTTCCTGCACCTATTTGGTGTGGGTGCGGTGCAATTTGAGCTATACAAAATGTATGGCTCCAATCACACAGCACACAAATCGCATGTGATTTGCACAGGAATGCGGTGCGAGTGTGAACCTAGCCTTACGAATGTAAGCACATTCATTTGTATTGCTCTGCTATGCAGACAGGGGAGAGATCTGTATTGTTTACATACAGACCTCTTCCCCACCTGTAGCACTTGGCGATCGCCGGGTGGTGGAGAGGAATCACTGGCCAGGACCCAGTAACTGACAGCTGAAGCTGTCAATGGCAGAGCAGGTAGGGCCCCCTACCTGGAAATGCAAAATCACGGATATATCCGTGATTTTGCACAGCCCTGCCGCCCTGTAGCAGTATTTCTGCTATAGGGCAGTTGGGCAAGTGGTTAAGAAGGCTTGTACTCTGCTCATGGATGGCAATGCAACAGGTTCACTTTAATGTTCCCCTTCCCCTCCAACTGCTTAGTTTCCCTTTGTTCCTTTCTGCAAGAGTGAGGAGAATAAGCCCTGTGCTAATCCTAGTACGCACGATAAGAAAATCATATGAAAAATACCACTTTTGAAGTGATCGTAGGATAATCTGATCATTGGTACACAGCTTTCATCCAAAATTATTTGAAGGGACAAGCATGAAAATTTTTCTCATACGATTTTTGTTTAATCAATACAGTTTTTCATCCAAAACTACAATATAAATACATTACATCACTTACGAATATCATACAAGAATTTTCATAACTCTAGTACTCGCCTCATTTTCAATATGAGATATGAGCATGCAAAAAAAAAAAAAACAGACGATCATTCATCCAATATTCTCATAGTGTGTACGGGCTTAAGTGGAACTTAAGTGGACTTAAGTGGAACTATACTCACCTATTCTCCATTGCTGTGATGTCTTGGAACTCCATGCCGGCCATTGACATCTTCAGCCAAGTGGCTTCCAGGTATTGATCCCCAGGCATTTCCATTGGCCGGGTCTGGATGACACCACTCCCGCACATCCACAGGAGTTTATCCCAGCATTGCTGAAATTCTTACACTGAGCTGCACATGCACAGCTCAGTGTACAGGGCTCAACAGGCAGGTAAGTAACTTTATTGCAGAGGAGACACAGTGGGGGAGATTTACTAAAACTGGAGCACATATGGTGTAGCTGTTCATGGTGGCCAATCAGCTTCTAACTTCAGGTCCACTTTAAGGCTACCATACACGTTTCAGATTTCATCTGCATCAGCCGAAATTGGAGCTGTGGGTGCACCACCAAGGTAACAAAAGTCAATTATTCAGTCAACTTTTGTCATAGAAATGGGATGAAAAACTGTTAGCCAAGCAGGGACTGTACCCAATCACATGCAATCACTGTTCAGGTATTCTGACATCCAACTGTCAGAATACAATAGTGGGCACTGCATATTTGTCCAATAGCGATGTTAGCATGGATGGAGGAACCTGCTAGATTCCTCTTTCTTAGTCTGCAGGCTAAATGAAAGAATCTATGTGTATATGGCCAGATTTAGAGTTTACATAGGGCTGAACACTGCCATATGTAACACTGTTGGTACAGAGGCAGCCAATCACCAAGCACCAGCATTGACACATGGAAGGGAATAGAGTAAGTCAAATGCTCTCCATTCCTGGAAGTACAATGTATGTCATGCTGTCTCCTCCAATAAACAGAGTGGAAAAGAAGCAAAGAAAAGCAGCTGCAACATTCAGGTGAATCTGTTACTTTTTTTTCATGAGTAAAGCCCAGGTTCAATTTAAAGTGATACTAAAAGCTACATTTTTTTTGTTTAAAATAATAAAAGAAGTTGTGCTTACTTTAATTGTGTTCCGATAGTGCACAGAGAGGTCCTTACCTCCTTTTCTGGCTGTCAGGCTGTCTGCATCCATAAACACACACACAGTGCTGATAAGCCCCCCCCCCCCCTCCTTCCCACAAGAACTTGACTGACAGTAGCAGGAGCCTATGGCTCCACTGCCCTCAGTTTCTCCTGAGAAAGCAGGAAGGGAAGGAAAGGGTGCTGTAGCCCAAGGCAGCACTGCAACGGTGACAGGAGCCAGGTATGTGTTTAGGGATGGGGGTGGGCAGCTGTCAGGGAATGGGAAGATCGCCTCGGCGATCGAATCTGCACATGCGTAGAATCTTGACAAGACATACAGGCAGGCAGGCACTAGGACCCAGGCGCGCCTGTCACCAATGACGGCGCCGGGCAGGCACTAGGACCCAGGAGCGCCTGTCAGGAGTTGGGCGGCCTATTTAAACCAAGCTCTTGCAATGCTCAAGTGCAGTATGGTCTTACCTGTTTCCTGAAGTTCCTGTTTAGTAGACTGTCTTGTTGCCGACCCTGCCTGACCCTGATTTGCTGTCTGTCTCCTGTTCTGATCCTTGGCTTGTCTGACCATTCTCCTGCTTAACCCTGCACGTTCTGATCTCCTGTTAACGAACCCAGCTTGTGACCTGTTTATTCCTCTGCCTGCTGATTTTGTACCACGCTGCCACCACTGTTACCGACCCGGCCTGCCTGACGCTGCTCTTGTGACCTCCTCACATCAGACTCTCACCTGCTATACACCTCCAACGATGCTTCTACCACAGCTGGGTGAACTCAGGGGCCGCGACCTGGTCTCGGCCTGCTCCAAGTCCATCCCACCATCAGGGGCCCTGGTGAACAAGCAGGTAGGGACTTAGATTCCGCGCCTTGGGGGAATCCGGTCTGTGGAGTGCTAGAGGCTACCGCTGTAGGATCCCTGACAGCAGCCAAGTTAGTGCTGAGAACACACTAAGGGCTCATGTACACGGGGCATTTGGAAAACTCTTCTGAACGATGGAAACTGACTGCTGGAAAACGTAGGATAAAAAACATCAGTTTAGCCATGTTTATGCGCATGCGTTTAGAAGCGTTTTTAAAAGATAACCTCAGGAGACCTTCCCAAATGCCCAGAATGCACTGAAAAACTGTAAAAAATTAACTATTTCAGACATTTTGAGAGAAATAGAGAGAGCAGAAGCAGAGAGAGCAGTAAGTGTTGAGATGACCTGTCTTTTCTGGTTGTAGTCACTATGGATCCCATCATGAGCATAATTGCAGCACGTTCTACCATTTTTTCCTGCACGTGAAACTTGGAACTGACTGCGCTGGTGTCTGGGGCCGTTTGAGTACCTGGAAAATGCTTTGCATGCATTTCTGATGATGAAAAAAGGCTCTGGACAGCATCTGGATATGGAACAGTTAAAAAACGCTTCTAAACGCAAATGGTTATAAATGCGGTTAACCGCATTTACAAGCGTTTACAACTGTTTGGCGTTTGAAACGCCGGTAGGAGTCTACTCCTGAACGAAAGTTTGGTGCGTTCAAAAAAACGACTGTAAACTCAACTGCCTGTAAATGACTGTAAACGACTATGTGTACATGGACACATAGGAAAACATTAGGGAGAGTTCAGGGGCTGCTGAAAAAAATGTGGAAAAGCTCCTGAGCGTGAGTTTATCAGCTGCAGTGTACATGAGCCCTAAGAGAAAAATAAAAACCTTTAGATTTTAGAACACTTTAAAACGGTAGGAAACCGCGACCATTAAAAAAAAAAACCTGCAAGACAAAAGGCATAATGTGCTAGCATGCATCGCATATAGCACATTATGTGAAACTTACCTAAAATGAAGCCCTCCAGTGGCGCACTATCACCGCAGGAGGGCTTCCATCTTCACCCGCTCCTTCTTCTGGCTTTGCAGTCTCTGGCGGCTTGAATGGCCAAGCCATAATGACGTCACTCCTGTACATGCACGCGGGGGTCACTTTTTACACTTTTTACGACATACAGCTCTGAAGGAACAGCATGGAAATATTTACAGTGCCTACAGGTAACTCTTATTATAGTATAGGTACAGGTACAAAAACTGACTTTACTGCCACTTTAAATATATTTATTTTTTTAGGGGAAAACTGATGCAGGGTTAATGGTAAATCTGTCTCAGATGGCCGGTGAATGCTAACAATTCTAAAAAAAAAAACCTAATTGACAAGCCCTTTTGGCAGTCTAACTTACACCACAGATCATGTCAGTAAATCCTCCTCACAGTGATAAACAGTATATAAATTACTTTTTGTACAGCAGTCAGTTTGCAAGGGCATCGTAAAGCGTATCTAAACCACAAAACAAAAATGAAATTCCTGTGATGGGGTGACAACTGCCTTCCTATTGTGTTCTTTGTTGTCACTCTTGTCACATAGGTCCCAGGTAGAGACCACAAGCCAAATCAGTGAAGTGCACAGGAGCAGGTGCATGTAGAAAGGAAGTGGCTGAAAAAGGCTGAAGGAGATCAGAAGCACTGACATGCAAAAAAAAGGATGAAGACAAGGATAAAACAGCATTCTATATTTAAAAAAAAATGTTTATGATACACAATATTTTAAGGAACCAAATGTCACTGATAGGTACTACATGCATTTTATATTATCTGATTATCTTGAGTTCCAAATGTTTTATTTTTGTAAGAGATTTTTTAAAATGGTACAAACATGGTAATGACACCTGATAATTATATTTAAAAGCAAACTCAGACAGTTGAAAATTCTGAATGTTTTCAATTAGGTTTAAGCTGTGTAGTATATCCATTTTCTTATATCTAATACTTTAATTTTACGATTTGAAAGGAAAATTGTTAGGGCTGAAATGTCAGTTAATAAATGTAAATGTGCACTTCGCTTAAACTATGTTCACTATCAATACCCAATCATGAACATAGGATTATTGCTTGTATGTTACTGGGTGATTGAATTGAACAGTTTCACCTTTTTCCCAAAGCTAAACATTGACTTTACAAGACTAAAACTCTTTTACTCTTTTAGTAAATTAAACTACAATATAATGGTAAGTGAGTGGAACTTTTTGCAGCATTGATGGATTTTTTCATGAATATTCCATATAAAAAAAACACTTGTGTAGCCAACTAGAAAAAGTAAATGCAGATGCAATAAAAGATTAGATTGGGAAAAAGGTGTTGCTGTGGCTAGCATTAAACAGGCTCAAGGCAGTTAATTTACTAACGGAATAGAGACTGTTCACTTAGTATAGTAAATGAATGCTCACTGAGCTTAGGAAATACACTGAAGCTATTTCCCTTCAATCCAGTAAGGAAGTAAAAATCCTTTTTTTTTTTCTATTTCTCTCCATATGATTGAATATTCGAGGTGAATAAAGCTGCATCCTATTTACCAACATCCTT